ACTACCCACAGCTTGTGACCATAGGTGAGTAGGGGCATAGATCGACCGGTAAATTGAGAGCTTCGCTTTTACACTCCGCTCTCTCTTCACCACAACAGACCGGTACAGCGTCTGCATCGCTGCAGCTGCCGCACCAATCATCTGTTGATCTCTCGCTCCCTTCTCCCATCACTCGTGAACAAGACCCTGAGATACTTTACCTCCTTCACTTGGGTCAGGGTCTCGTCCCTGACCCAGAGTGGGCACTCCACCCTTTTCCGGCTGAGGACCATGGCCTCAGATTTGGAGGTGCTGATTCTCATTCCCGCCGTTTCACACTCGGCTGCGAACCGTTCCAAGGCGAGCTGGAGGCCAACATTTGATGAAGCCAACTGGACCACATCATCTGCAAAAAGCAGAGATGAGATCCTAAGACCACTGTAGTGAAAGCCTTCTGCCACTTGGCTACGCCTAGAAATTCTGTCCATAAAAATTATGAACAGAATCGGTAATAAAGGGCAGCATTGGCAGGCCTGTCACCCACCAGGAACAAGTCCGACTTAATTCCGGCTATGCAGACCAAGCTCTTGCAACAGTCATGTAAGGACTGAATGGCCCGTAGCAATGGGCCAGACACCCCATACTCCCGGAAAACCCCCTACAGGACCCACCAAGGGAAACGGTCGAATGCCTTCTCCAAGTCCACAAAACAAATGTAGACTGGTTGGGCAAACTCCCATGCACCCTCAAGTATCCTCGAGAGAATAAAGAGCTGGTCCAGTGTTCCACGATCAGGACGAAAACCACATTATTCCTCCTGTATCCAAGGTTTGACTAACAGACGGACTCTCCTCCCCAGCACCCTGGCATAGACTTTCCCAGGGAGGCTAGGGAGTGTGATTCCCCTGTAATTGGGACACACCCTCCGGTCCCCTTTTTTTAAAGATGGGGACCACCACCCCGGTCACCACCCACGCTGCATTCCGCTTAGCCTATCAGTAATGATAATAATAATGGATTGGATTTATATAGTGCTTTTCAAGGCACCCAAAGCGCTTTACAATGCCACTATTCATTCACTC